AACTCCGACTGGATTCGTCTGAAAGAAGAAAGTCATATACACCTAGGATGATTTCAGGGTGAGTAATTTATGGGCTAATTTAAATGTTTGGGTGAACTAACCCTTTAAGTGAGATGAAGTTGTTAAAGCTCTGTTTTCCAACGGTCCCCACCTGTGTAAAAATGTTGTGCGTTTGGCTGAGAATCCATCTAGAATCTGCGTCAGGTGCCACAAGAAGTTTGAGTGTACCAATATACACATCTGTGCAAAGGGTCCAGAAGTGAGGTTCTTGGAGATTATAGACACCCTGAAGCTGCTGGACCTGCAGGGAACATTAGTGGTTAGCAAATGCAACCCCAGTTTTTCTCAAAGGTTCTGACGCTCATTAGGGTGCTTGGACTGTAGCTATCTAGAACTGTTTCATGCAAAAACCTGGAACAGCAAGATTGAGGTCCTGACCCTCAATAGGGTGTCAAGATCCCATTTTTCAAATGTGGCTACATGGTTAGCTAGTTATGTTTTGGGACAACTTGGCTACAATTCCAGTTGATATCCAAAGTTTACTCTGTCTAACCAAGTAGTCAACTTTCACAAATAGGATCCAGAAGATGGAAATGACTCACCCTTTGGTAGCATTCAGGAAGGGTATGGTCCAGAGAAGGAGGCGTCCGTTGCATCAAGATCCCTATGGATTCCCTGAGCAGAGGAACCACACTGTGGGAAAGAGGGAGGCGAGAAATGAGTCGCCGTTCTATGAGACATGAACTCAATGGAGCGCCAAGTACTAGGCAAACTCTGGCAACAGGAAGGGATGCCACACATAAAGACGTCATTGGTTATGAATTGGTTAGTGACATAACAGCTTGACACATCGTGTTATAAGCTGAGGAGAGGAAATTCTGTCATTATCATGACAAACAAGAACTCTTTTCATTAGCATTATTTCTGAGCATGCTCAACGTGGTCCAACATAAACTTGCCCATATTATGGTTGGGGTGGAGTAACAGAGAGCTGTGCTGACGTCATTCCAACAGCTGTAGTGCGCGTGAGCCAGCAAGCAACCCTGAACAGATGAGGATAGACATCCAAACCCATTCATTCTGCTGAAGAATCACTTGGCAGAAACGGTTGACCGGTTAAGAAAGGACTAGGACTATTTCTCTTCTAACCAGTCAGCCGTTTGAGCCCCATCAAAGCTAGGTCTTGGCTAGGCCAGCATCTTACAAAGTCATCAGTCCTCCTTCAAACCTTCAAGGCCTGACCACTGCTCCATCTGGGAACCATTAGAGGATTCCTTGGTTTGGACTTTTTTTCCCCGTCCCTAATCTACTCTATCAGCCCCACGTTCTCCTGAACTCCTCCCTGTAACCCCAGCCTCAGTTTGGGACACGCCAAAGTGGAGAAGCTGATCATTGTCTCATTTGGACCTTCATGAAACTGAAAGCAAATGTGGCATCAACAAGGACGCATTTCACAACATTTGACCTTGCTAAACACTCTTTGGCACACATTGCTGAAAAACTGCAACAATGTTTGCCTACAAAATATTTTGCCCCAACATTGTTTTGATAACATTTAAAAAACTGCAATCATGTTACTCACAAGGCTTTGATTTCACAATAGTCGGGTCTTGACCCGTGAGGTTTCCACAGACTTTTACTACCCTATATCGAGAGCATACATGAGTAATATCAATATAAGCACTACGCTCCAGACTAATCTATAGCAATTCTGACTACTCGGCACACTTTATGGTCAAGTAACATTAGGTAATGTTTAAAATGCAACGCATGCAAGTATTTCTGTTCAATACCTCCCTGAAGATGACTGTGGTTTACCAAGCAATGTTTGCAAGCAAGCAAGCTTGTATAGGCTTTAGCCATATAGGAACATGAAAGCGGAGCCTGATTGGTCTGTCTCATCCCTCTTTGAATCTATTAGCTTTAGTACACCTGGAAAGTAAAATAAATCAAGTCTACTGGCAGACTGACAAATTAGATCCATTCTGTCAAACCGCACAACATGTCAACTTTCTGAAGGTTTTTCTATAATTACCATATGTTTCCATCAACATGTACTGTGACAGGGCATCATAAAACTGGCCACTGTGCATTCCTCTCAGTAACCGGTGTGTTTGTCCCTCTTTTGGACAATAAAATGAAAACAGGAAAGTACTGGATGAGGGTACCTCAGACCTCTGACATCATACTATTGTTGCACACCTTCCTGTTCAGTGAAACAGAGGCACTCTTACTCACCGTTCGCTGGCGCTTGATGGCTAACCTGCCCCGAAAAATCTGTAATGCAGTTACACGAGTGACTCAGCTGGCTGAAATACAATTACGTGCGAGCATCAAGGTTAAGCTGGCCAGTGACACAGACGAAATGTCACCACCTAGGTCAGGGTGACAATCAGGATAAAATATTTCTGCAAGGACGCTTGTAATCACCTATGGACTTTTTTGGAAACCAGGAAAACAGCTTGGAGTCACGTGGCACAAAGCAGTCACTCGTAAAAGCACACGCATTTCTAAATCACATGGAAATGATTGGTTATCACGCCCCGACAACCTGAGTACCTAACTGGAGCACAGAAATATTTATGACACCAGAACCACCACAAGAATGAGGTGACTGTAGTGAGGTCTGCGTCTGAACAGCAGTGGGAATTAGAACAGGTACATTTAACTTGAGATTTATATGCAATAGGACCTAACAAACTTTTCCATTTCTAGGGCAAGCAGTTATTGGGATTCCACTACAAAAAAAACTTTCGATGCTTTCCTGCTAGGAACCAACTGCACTCAAGCTATGGCCATAACCACAGGATTGTATAGCTATTAGGCCTTGTGCATAAAACTTTTGCTTGGATTCAAAAGCTCATTTTTATAGTTTGAGAGTCTGCAAACGTTCAAACATCTTCTGAACAGCTCTACAAACAATCACTAATACTAAAACTTTCTTCCCACATAGCTGATGGTCACAAAAGGTCCAGTCTGAATGTAGAAGAACATTTGTGTAAAACTGAAATCTCATGAGACATGTCTGGGTTACATTTCACCTCAAAAATCAAAAGAATATAAAAAAAAAAAAATGAAGTTACATTATTTTTATAAAAAATTAAGCTAATTTTTCAACATAACTTGCGTAAACACAATAAAAATATGATATTCATTATTAAAAAAATTATATATATTTATTTATTTTAATTTTTTCCCCTCTTCTGATTTTAGGGTGAAATCACTTTTGAGAGATTCGGCATATAGACTTAAAAAGGAGACAAGCTTAAAAATTGAAAAGGCTTGGACATAAATGAGCTAGAACCTTGAAAACTACATTTCCAAAACCAGTTAATATGAAATTAAAATGAAATCAATTCAAGTAGCTCAAACAATAACCTGCAATTAGTGAAAATGGAGTGAAACCCGATGGAAATCGGAAATTCTCCAGACTGAATGATACAGCCCTCAGTTAACATCGATAACTTATATATACACAGAGCTGAGCGTTAAATAAATTGCATGTTGTATGTGTTATATGTTGCTATATGTGGCTCATTCCCCACCTGCACCAATAAGTCGTAAATTAGCATTCTAAAAAAGACATACATTAAGTAGCTAGCAGCCGGCACAGTGCTAAAGTGCATTATGTGCAAAAAATACAGTAGATCAAAGAATAACACAATAACATGCGACAAAAGCAGCTTTGGAGAGCCATTTAAACATTTGCACTGAGGCCTGACAAATGAATCCATCCACAAAGGCCCAGCTTAGTACGGCCAGAACAAATGCTAATTACTGTTAACGTTCTTTACGCACCCATTCCTTGGGCTTTAGGCTGGGTACCTCAGACCTCTGACATCATACTATTGTTCCACACCTTCCTGTTCAGTGAAACGGAGGCACTCTTACTCACCGTTCGCTGGCGCTTGATCAATAACCTGCCCCGAAAACGCTGTAATGCAGTTACACAAGTGACTCAGCTGCCTGAAATACAATTACGTGCGAGCATCAAGGTTAAGCTGGCCAGTGACACAGACGAAATGTCACCACCTAGGTCAGGGTGACAATCAGGATAAAATATTTCTGCAAGGACGCTTGTAATCACCTATGGACTTTTTTGGAAACCAGGAAAACAGCTTGGAGTCACGTGGCACAAAGCAGTCACTCGTAAAAGCACACGCATTTCTAAATCACATGGAAATGATTGGTTATCACGCCCCGACAACCTGAGTACCTAACTGGAGCACAGAAATATTTATGACACCAGAACCACCGCAAGAATGAGGTAACTGTAGAGGGTCTGCGTCTGAAACATTACAGTGGGAATAAGAGCAGGTACATTTAACTTGAGATTTATATGCAATATGACCAAACAAACTTTTCCATTTCTAGGGAAAGTAGTTATTGGGATTCCACCACAAAAAACTTAAAATGCTTTGCTGCTAGGAACCAACTGCACTCAAGCTATGGTGGTCATAACCACAGGATTGTATAGCTATTTGGCCTTGTGCATAAAATGTATGCCTGGATTCAAAGGCTAATTTTTATAGTTTGAGAGTCTGCAAATGTTCAAACATCTTCTGACCAACTCTACCAACACTTTACTACAAACGATCACTAATACTACAACTTTTCCCCCACACAGCTGATGGTCACAAAAGGTCCAATCTGAATGTAGAACACAATTTGTGTAAAACTGAATGAATCTCATTAACCATGTTTGGGTCATAACTGAATGATACAGCCCTCAGATAACATAAATTACTTATATATGCAGAGCTGAGTGTTAAATAAAGTGCTGTTGCATGTATATGTGGCTTGTTCCCCACCTGCACCAATACGCCGTAAATTAGCATTCTGAAAAAAACGTACAGTATCTAGTAGCCGGCACAGTGCTAAAGCACATTATGTTAAGAAATACAGTAGATCAAAGAATAACACAATAACATGCAACAAAAGCAGCTTTGGAGAGCCTTTAGACACATTTGCACTGAGGCTTGACAAATGAATCCATCCTCAAAGGCCCAGCTTAGTACGGCCAGAACAAATGTTAATTACTGTTAACGTTCTTTACGCGCCCATTCCTCTGGCTTTAGGCTGGGACCCAAAGCGATTAGCGTTCTTTGGAAGACTTTGGTGGTGGGGGACTGCTGTAGGCCACAGCAGCATTACTCCTCCACTCCCTCCAACTAATCACAGGGTACCGGAACAGATCCAGCCGCTGCAGCCATACCCAGATATCCCCCTAAAGCAAGCCTACCGCACCCAGAGCGGCCTTAGCTAAACACGGCTCAGTTCGCGTGCAGCAAGGGGTCTTTTGCAAAGGGTCCCCTGCAAATGTGTCATGCCTCAGGTGCAGCTGATGAAGGAGAAGTCCATCATCTTAGCGAAAGGTCAAACATCCAAATGCGAGCAAGATGGTTGGATCAAAACAAGGCGCTATCTTGAGAATATCAATCTCACAATGAGAGTTACATGGGAAAAATGCTGTCCATCTTAACGATGTATCATGTGTTTAATAAATGTATCATGTGTTTAATAAATCTCTCTATATATATATATATATAACAGCCATGCTTCCCCAAACACATTAAGCCTAGTTCTGGCGAACACATCACTTTTCTTAGGAATTGTTCAGAATAGCATACTACTATTTCTGCAGTATATACTAGGTGTGCTGTACTTAGTATGCATATTTTGAATTAAGTACCCTTGACCTACTACATTTGGCAAAATCCCACAATTTTATCCTACAACGCACTGCATGGCACTCGACTTTGAGTGCAACACAAAAGAAATACTTTGAAAAAAGTCAATGGGGTCCAAATTTTTCCAAGTTTTCAGATCATTACATGGACAAAAACAGTCAAAACATTCTGCAAAATATTTTCATTTGTTATCCACAGAAGGAAGTATGTCATACAGTTTTGGACATGACAGTAAGTAAATAATGTCAGAATTTTATTTTTACACTAATGTAAATTAAAAATTACTGACTTGATGCATACAGTTTTGCATACTATTTTTAGAGTAGCAAACAGTATGCACTACGGTTTAAAAGTTTGGGGTTGATAAGATTTTTTAAAAGAGATTAATACTTTTATTCAGCAATGATGCATTCAATTAATCAAAAGTGACAGTAAAGACATTTATAATATTACAAAAGATTTCTAATGCAAATAAGTGTTGTTATTTTTAACTTTCTACAGATATTTCCACAGGAACGTGAAATCTTAAGCTTCACAAGCTCTTTAACAAGCTCATTTCTGGTTTGCAACTGTTTTTAATTACCTGCTTTGGAATTTAATGGCTTTCCATAGTTGTGTAATACCTTTGTACGTGTGCCATACCAGATCGGCCTCCAGACTGCACCTGAATGAGACCGAGACGCTGTCACGCAGGTGCAATATGGGAAAACGTCCACAGTCTTAGCCCTATTCTCAGTTCTCAGGATTTGCCTCTCGGCCACTGCATGGAAAACTGAAGAAGAGGGGGAAAAAATGTCTAAGATCCCCCTTTTTTGAGAAACAAAGAGAAGGAAAAATCCATCTTAAAAGATGCCTTTGTTGAAGTAACATTCACAGATCGCCACCACATTCCAGAGAGGGAGAAGAAAAGCCTCAAACACGGACAAGAAGGAGGGGCGGGGGGTTGGAGGGACGAGATGAATATGCGGGAAATGCTTTGCTCAGACTCGGTCACTTTGCAAAAAGGGGCCACGAACGGTGCCTCTTCACTCAAGCACAGTAACCAAAGGCCATCTGCAATTTAAAAATTGTGCAGTCCTGCTCAAATTTACACAGCCTTTACATACATTTACCTACATCACACACAAAAAATAAAGCATACTCATCACCATAAAAGCATCTGATGGCATTTTCAAGACTATGGAGGAGGAATGAGAGGTTTGGTAGGTTTAAAACACTGCAAAAAATGGCTTATCTTACTTAGTATTTTTGTCTTGTTTCTACTCAAAATATCTTAAAATTCTTAAATCAAGATACTTTTACTAGATGAGCCAAATTACTTAAGATATTTTGTCTTGTTTCCAGGGTGAAAAAAAACTAAATTAAGTGCATTGTTTGCTTGAAACAAGTAAAATTATCTGCCAGTGGGGTAAGTAAAATATTCTTAAAACAAGAGTATTTTACTTACCCCACTGGCAGATAATTTTACCTGTTTTAAGCTAAATGCACTTAATTTCGTTTTTTTCCCCTGGAATTTTAAGATATTTTGACTAGAAACAAGACAAAAATACTAAGTAAGATAAGCCATTTTTTGCAGTGAAAGTGATGAAATGCTATGCATTTTTCCTTCTCGACTGGAGTTGTTTGAAAAATGCCACATGACAGAGTCAAATCCTGTGTTTTCTGGTTTTGCCACATGTTGAGAAAGTGCTCTGGGGCTCCACCCTCTGAGCGTGCATCCTGTAATTCACCCGGCTGGAGCACCAACGGCTTCACAGGGCTCTTGGTGAAGGGTACTGTGAAGTGGCTTTTGTATGATCTGTGTTAGGTGCTGTTGAGGGTGTCTGGGTGGGGTCTGAGGATGGAGGATTGTCTTGAGTTGAGTCGAGAGAGGTCAGTGCTCATAATAGCATGGGCCGGGGTTTGCGTACTCACCTCACTCCTATGAGAATCGAGATGAGCATGGAGCAGATGGGGTCGGCAATCATCAGGTCGTATTTTTGCATTAGGATGGCAGATATGATGACACCGACACTGCCCAACGTGTCCGCAACAATGTGGAGAAAAACTCCTGAAATGAAGAAAATGAGGGTTTCGATTTATTCTGTTCAAAAATCTAAAAAGAAAATACACACTACTGTTCAAAATGTTGGGGTCAGATTTTAAAAAGATTTTTAAGTAAGTCTAAAATACAGTAAATATAGTTATACTGTAAAATATGATTACAATTTAAAATAACGTTTCTATTTTAATATATTTTAAAACTTAGTTTACTCCTGTGATGATAAAGCTGAATTTTCAGCATCATTACTCCAGTCTTCAGTAGGGCAAAAGGCCCTTTAGTCACATGATGATCCTTCAGAAATCATTCTAATACGCTGATTTGGTCCACAAGAAAAATTTCTTATTAGTATTAATGAATATTTTTTGAAAACTCTGGTGCATTTTTTTAGGACTCTTTGCTGAATAGAAAGTTTGATGAATTTATTGCATTCTTGCTGAATAAAAATATTAATTTCTTTTTAAAAACAAATCTACTGACGTCACATTTTTGAGCAGTAGTGTATATAAATACAAAAAACATATCCAAAAATATTAAAATGTTTTTTTATATCTCAGTATTAACTTATTATAATATACTTAATATTAATACTAACACATTAATATTTATAAAATTGAAAACAACTATAAATTGTTATAAATATTAATGTTTATTAATAATTTGTTAATATTGAGATATAGTAAAATATAAAATAAATCTCAAAAATAATATTTATAAAATGTTATATTAATATTACAAATAATTTAAAATAACGGAATAAAAAAAAAAAAAAA